TCCTCTCGGTCTCAGTCTCGATCTCCTGCCGGATCTCATCGAAGTCGGTGAAGGTCTGAGAGGGGACAGAGAGGCAGGGCTGGCCCTGAGACAGGCTCCATGGCCCCTGGTGGCACTTCCCTCTGCCCAGAAGCTGACAGTACATGGAGAGGGGGCGTGCAATGACCCACAGCCAGGATGGGCAAGGGAGGCTGCCCCCCACCTCCAGCAAAGGACAGGGATGGGTGCTGGGAATATCACCCCATTACCCCTTAACAGACAAGTCAGGGAGGGGCATCCCCCACCCCTCCAATTACCATTATTTCCCCCCAAGACCCAGACAGGGGTTGAAGGGGCCACCCCCAGATCCCGAGCAGGGCCCCTACCTTGTGCTTGCAATGCAGGAAGGTCGCCCACTCCTCAGCCTGGGTACCTGCAGGGAGAGCCAATTCGGGGTCACTCTCAGCCCCCCAGAACATGGACAGGGCTTCAAGGGATTGCGCAACCCCACTCCAAGAAGCTCTGTTTCAGACCCTGGCTCCCCATAGGAACCACTGGCTTCAACCCACAGACACGGGCTCCCCAGCAGTAGGGAGAGAGGGGGTCACAGGGAGCCAGACACCTTGGGATCTCACCACCTCAGCCCTTGGGGTCTCTATCCTCAACCTCCCAGAGCTGGGAGGGGGTGGGGGGCCTCCCAGTGAATGGTACTGCAGAGCAAGGGAGAGAACCCAGGAGTCCTGGCTTCCAGCCCCCCCCCCCACTCTAACCACTATACCCTACTCCCCCTAACCCTAACACCTCCTGTCCCCTCAGCCCAGGGAGAGCCCACCTGCCTCCCAGCACCCCCTTACTTGTCTCCCCACTGGCTGCACGTTGCCGCTCCTCCAGCGATGGCACGTTCACCAGCTGCAGGACCAGAGGCCGCCGGGTGACAATGCCTGAGCCCCGGGGCAGGAAGTCGCGACCCACAATGCTCTCCAGAACCGAGCTCTTCCCGCTGCTCTGTGATGAGGGGAGAGACGGGGTTAAGGCTGGAGGGGACAGGAGAGTGAGGGGCAGCCAGACGGGGTGGGGAGAGGGAGAAAAGGAACCTGGAGCTTCAGAGATTAGAGGGTGTTGGGGGGGGTCTCACCTGGACCCCAGTGGGGCAAGGAAGGGAAGGGTGGGATGGGGGGGTCTCACTTGAGCCCCAATCACCACGATCTGGGGCAGCTGGATCCCCCCAGGGAGGGAAGGGTGGAGCTGGGAGGGGGGAGGTCTGGGGTCTCACCTGGACCCCAATGGGGCAGCTGGATCCCCCCAGGGAGGGAAGGCGGGGGTCTCACCTGGGCCCCGATCACCACAATCTGGGGCAGCTGGATCACCTCGGCCCCCACAGTGTTGAAAATCTCCTGCAGTTTGTTGATCACGGGGATCAGGGTCTCCATGGCAGGGCAGGGTTCGGGGCTCCTCCCTACAAGGGGACATGGGGCCCCCCTTAAATCAACCGGGAGCCAGCACAGCCCCGCAGCCAAAAATAGAACCCAGGAGTCCGGGCTCCCCCGCCCCCGCCCCCCACAGGCACGGAGCGGACCCA